GAGAAGATGGTGTGACATTCGCCTAGTCGGACAGGAATCGATTGACGAGCGATTTTAAAACCTCGTCATAAAATAAGACAAATCATGTGACCAGAGCTTTTACTCGGAGAAAATAACATTGTTTTGGGTAGTCGAAATAATGACTTCCGGATCTGTAAAATTCCAAGTCAGATCGATCACTGTTATTAGATTGCTTTTACTCTCATCTAGTGGTTTCCGAAATGCGGTATGAGGTCAACGTTCGTTCGTTCAATTTACTTGCAGACTAGGTAAAGAACAGCATCTAACTCATCGAGATCAATTGGTTAAAGGAACCAGCAACAAGTAGGCGGTAAATATTGAATCTGGGCTTCCAAACCCACATGTCTAGACTAACAAGTGGAGGTTGCAATGCGAGTCTCATTGGTAGCTCGGGTAGTGGATTGGAGACGAAAAAGTGTCGCAGAGTCTTGGCGATCATTCTGTATCTCGTGTTGTGGATTAGATGCGTCTAACCTCAGCCAACTGAACGTTCGGGCAGATTTAGTGTTTTTTAATAAGTAGTATATGAATGACCGAACAAAATTTCGCAGAAGCATATGACCGATTTTGCAGTCCTCGTTAGGTATGCGGCAAGGGCCGCGAAATCTTGTTCAGTCATTCAGATACTACTCAATATAATAAGCAAAGTGCCTAGAATCTTGAATGACTCCGGCAGCATCCCCGAGCCGAATAGAGAATACACAGTGGCGTATGTCGACAAAATATTGAAAATCGGTCCTCGTAGCTCGGGTGAACTGAATCCCATTTCGCCTGTTAGCTGAGTTTGTCAATTTCTTTGCAAACGTTTCATCATCAGCCGAGGTGACATCATCATTGCTTGTGAAGTAGTGTCTGCTGTTGATGCACCTCATCCCATCCAGTTCAAATAAAAAACTTCACAAAAAAGGAATGGAAATTTCGGTTTGCCCCTCTTGAAAAAATCTGAGTTAAAGGGATTTTATCAAATCCGTTTTGATTTATATATAAACCACCTAATTGTGATGCAACCGAATTGAACATTATCGAAGAAACAATGATATCCAAAAATATGTTTTACTCCTATTCCTGAATCGCATGTAGCACGGTTTCTGGAAACTCCGTATTTCATCAAGAAGATCAGGCAAATGAGGCCGGATACACGGACAATATCAATTGTAGATAGCTGTCACGAATGAAGAAAAAACCTAGGAAATCAATTTCAGTTGTACAGGTCTTATTCCGGCATAAACTTTGTTCCTGATATACTGTTTACTTTTAGGGTCATAGTAACTTAGGCCTGAGTTTGAATCTCCATTGTTCGACGAATACGCATCGAGGGGAGATGCCCCTTAACAAGGAAAGCGCAACTTAACCGTCATTGAAGACAACACCTGAACAAACAGGTAATTTTGGTCAGCTCTAATGTGAGCCAAGTGGCACGCATATGCCCCATTAGAAGGGACAGTTCATAACTCGAATTGATTGCAATGTATGAATTAGTGACAACCTGTAACATGAGAAAATGTAAGTCTAGTGTTTTTCATGTGAATGGTCAATTGTTGTGAGGGACTACTTACATTTGTGAGCAGTATGCTTGGATTACGCACAAGGATAGGAGTGGTGGTTTCTCACAACGAGTTAGTGCTTTTTAAAATTGTAACTGCGGAAAATGCCCACCTACCGTCGGGCTGTTCCATCAATTATTCTGCGTGCCTTTGGGGATTATGATAACCTGTTCCAAATGAGCTGTTTCGTGCGCCAATTTATCCATACCCTACCGTTGTTCGTAAAAAGCAGCTCTCCTCGTCCGGTGTTGTGATAAAGCATTATAACAGTCGCAGTTGTTGATGGTACGTCAACACCCATCTTGATGATCAGATTATTTCGAAGGAATAATGCAAATTACCTCACACAACTAAACAATTTTCAACTTTCTTCTTCGTACAGGGCTGTTTTCAAGTTAGGTAAAGGTTGCAAGTGTCACCAGATAGAAACAGCCTCACATTTCATGCCCAGATTGTGAAGCTCAGCCAGTCACTCCACTCAATGTTCCTGCACATCAATTAGGTCACGAGGTTACCTTAACACGACCTGCATGACTAGATATCCTTACTATACCATACCATCAAGGCAGTTCAGTAGTTCAAAACAGTCTTTAGCTTTTTTCTTTCTGTCTCGGTGAACATTGCCTCCTGGGTAGCCCATCCGGTGATACGCAAACAACATGCCCCGACGACGGACGGCAGTCTGAGGAGGTCACGCCATGACAAGACGAAATTATCGTGATTACCCTAAAACTCTGTTTCTAACCTCAACATGGTCTACCCAGTTCACACCCCCCACCCCGGTCACCCGGGACTCACGCAATTCAATACGGGAAGTTGTTTGTCTTTATCCTCCTCCTCCTCCTCCACCATATAGCAGCACTGGTTGGACAACTTCAGCATCTGCTTAACCCTTCACGAACCACCGGTTGTCGAGGCAGCGCCCATGTTATCTCAAGAAGACAGACGCGAACCGAGCCCTCTGTATGCGTGACAAGACGTCGTCAGTGATTCATTGAACAGAAGAGATGTAGACACCCGATGCTGTCTATCTCCTCGATTATCTAGTCGATCAGAAAGAGGTTCGGAGCCGGACTAAGAACTTTGCATTTATTCAATAACAATACTGTCCAGCCTCACCACCATCATCGATGTCTTTCGATTCAGCAAAAACGTATCGATCGTCAATGATACCACATGAGCCCTTTAAGATCTGTACGGAATGTTCGATGCACTGCCACCATTCCATTGGGGCAATTTTCCATGATTAATAGCATGAGTTATTAGTATTCCGTCTCCGACTGAACGCGTGTATCCGGAACCCAATTTGAATGTATCGTGTGTTTAAAGCGAATGAGGCGAAGTATACGATAAAAAAAGAAAGCAGGCAATGACAGCAGCCAAAAACAAACAGTTACGCTCTAATATCAGACAAATTGTTGTTGTTGTTCTCCTGAGACATCATAACCAAAGTACATATTGTAATTCACAGCCCTTCATGTCACAAGTCTTGAAACTAGTTTGAGCTCAAATGTACATGATTTCCAATTTAACATGTTATCTTTCAGTTTGTTAGAAGAAAATCAACACGGTGTTTGAATCGAACTTGACGGTGTATCCATTGATCCCGCGATCANNNNCGCGGGCGTCGAGAGAGACGGCACCAAGCATTGGACAGTATGCCCCTTGACAGATAGATTGATCTACAAAATCCAAGAAAGGAGGTACGGTTCACAAGTGGAGGCACAACTAAGGTTCCGCGGCACAATACGATTGGTGTATAGTAAAATTAAATTTGCTGGAGCCGGTTTACCTCTGCTGAGTTCACAATGTGTGCAAAACAAAGACGGATGGTTAAAAAAATCCGTAGTGCGCCAACTTGACAAAGGATAAATCGATGGAATCAACACAAAATATGCAGCCTAAAAACTACCCAAACCTTTTTACATGGAATAAGACTTGGGGAAAATTTGAATCGAAATTCTGAGACTGTCTGTATGCATGAGAGTACTGAGGAATTTCATTCAATTTCAAAGACAGAATTCGTTATGTGTATAGAGCAAATGAAACGTGAACTGGAAAGCTAAGAAGTACAATTTAAAACTTGAAGAAAAAGCCCGACAGCATATTCGAAATACTTACAGAACAGGTTGACAACGACAAAATCTGATCCGTATTTGTTTGCCGCACGACATGAATAGTTACCATAGTCCCCGACCCGGATATTACGTATGAGAAGCGTGGAGAAAACGTCCGTAAGCTGCGCATTGAGATATGCAATGAATGAAATTAATCGCGTTTGAGGCTTTGGAATTATTAGGAGGTTGAAATGAGGCGATCAGGCAACTAAAATATAGATTGACTTCCATTTAGATGGTCAACTCGGAACTATTTATGAATGGACGAGTATGGACGAATAGTATGAGAAATTTTCACCGATCGTCCTTTAAAGTTCACTTGTCATCACAATCTTAAGTCTATTCAGTAAACCATACACACTTGGAAAAACCCAAAGTTAGCAAATGTTTGCTGTATTTAGTTCGTTTTTGATTAGTCTATTACGAATCCGAAGACAGTGAGTTCACCATGTATGCTTTAGAAAAGGAACTTGCTTGACTACATTATGCTCACACGTCGACTGAATATGGAATCCCACAGTTAAACTCAACTCATAGGAATACAGACATACAAACAGACAGACAGCATAAGACGCGTGAATGATATCTGCAATAATAGAAACAGACAGATCCTGCGAATAAGGCATCAAAAACGTCAATGGATTTTGAAATAAAATGTGTAAACATGATGAAATATTCCAAATATCTTAGTTGGCCTTTGGATACGGTCCTTTGTTTAAGCCCTTTAGGCACCGATTCACTTGGCAATAGATCAGTTTCTCTGCCACATACTTCTACACCTTCCTCTGTGAGACTGTTTTGCGATTCAACCAAGCAAAGACTGATATTTGCTAGATTCCGGAAGGCGTACATTCATTATAAAATTATCCACTAGCGGAACGTAAAATTATTCTGGATAACACACAACTGTGCACCTAGTTGGTTGTTGTTGGTGGTGATGATGATGGTGATTACCTTCAAAGTGAGACAGTTGAGCCGGGTTCAATTTATTTTATCGGCTGATTCTTATTGTGATAAAAGATATACATACAGTACTAACTGACAACTATTGTGCGACGACCAATCAACCTCAGAAATGCATAAGATAAAACTGTCAAATTAATAAGAAGCGTTTCATGCTCACATTGGTCCCAGCAGCCCCGTAGCTGTGCGCTTTTTCCAATTCATAACGATTGTTATCGTACAGTGGAACGTTGTTCGTGATTGGATCGTACACCCCGGTATACCACAATAGATCCGGATCGGGATAACCGTTGACAATACACTCCAAGGTCACATCGTAATTCCCGTCTGGTGCCTGATTGGATATTGATAAAAGAACCGATTAGGTTGGTTATCAAAGTTGAACAGTATGGAGTGCCTCCAGATCATGAAGTTTACCTATTCTGACGTTAGTCACACCATGATTAAGAAAAAAAAAGTATACACCAAATGCAAAGAAGCACAAGATACACAAGACATCAAACTATGAACAGAATACGTATTACACTTTAGGTCACATGGAAGGAATTGCTATGCTTTAAACTACTGTCGTCGTATTGTTATTATGTCCTAGNCCACCACGGATGACGAATTTAGCATCAAAGCGCGAACTAGCATAAGTTATGCAAGTGAAGACAATTCGGACCAAGAAGACTGACGATTCATTGTGGAATCCGAATAGATGTCACCAAGAGGTTGAGATTTCAGAATAGTTATCTTCCAATGGCATTATGGAACACAAAACAATTTTTAATCTGAGAAAATACACGCACAGTATGAGATCAGGCCGC